TTGTGACTTCACTATCTGATGTGACAGTATGCTATGTTTTTTTCTAATTGAGCATAAAATTTTTTATCAGCAGCCTAATATTGGGCTGGATAAAGAAGTTCTATGGCAAAAGCGAATCAGGAGGTCTGGATGTCCATGATAAACACAAAAGTACTCGACAGTGACATTCTCGACTTTATTAAAAGTAGGTACGAATCAGGAGCTCTCGACGTCCTCGATAAATACAAAACTACACGACAGTGACATTGACGCCTTTGTTTAAATTAGGCAGAATATGTTAGAGACGAAGCAGGAGCTCTGGACGTCCTTGATTAACACAAAACTACTCGACAGTGACAGAAAGTAGGCAGAATGTGTTAGAGACTTAGCTTTTTTTAATATTCAAAATATTGTATATCAGGTTTTCTGCAAAAATAATTACTTCTATTTCACAAAACAAAACACAGGTTCTAAGCCTGGCACTTAAAGTCCAAACAAATTATATATGGACTATAAACTAATTAAGAAATTCAAATATATTCTAAAACCACTGATGAGTACTTGGCAATACACGAAACAGTATTGTATGGTCAGCCAAATTTCAATAAATTAAATAAATTTTTATTCTTATCTTTTCTTTGCTATTCGAATCCGTTTAACTTTTAAATAGCTTTTTGACGTCATAAAAACGCGTCACTATTGTCAAGAAAAAATTAACATTAGAAACTTTATTTTATTCTAATGACACGCTTATTAAACCCTGTACGCAAATCTAGTTTCATCTCTATCTAGTATCGCTAGAGACCAATAGATACATATAAACGTGAATTATAGTCAGCCATACTAACCCAAACTCATCTATATTTACTAATGCTTCTCTTCTACTTTTTTAATGCGATTGTTGTTATTATTTTTTTTAATATAATTATAATATATGTCTACGAATATGCACTCTTTAGAGTGAATGTTAATATCATCATCATCATTGATGGCGCAACAATTTTAGTTGAATATTGGCCTCCCAGATTGTTAACGTATATTAAGTTTAAATCTTAATATCCTACAGTCTCCAACTATATTATTTTGTAAATTAGTTATGGACTTCTAACAGAAGAAATGGCAGCTATATCCAACTCTCAAGTATATAAACAACTTCCATAACTCGAATTTCTATAATTTTCTATAATTCGAGAGAGCATGTTACATACAATTCTTTAACTTGAAGTGTCCATAGGTCGAAACTTTTCTTTGCAGAATGGTACTTCGAGTTATGAAAAGTTTGACTGTAGCTATATTTAAATATTATATATTTAATTATTAATAAAATTTTTAATATATATTTATTTATTTAAAATAAATTATTTAAATTCTAAATTAAAAGTTTAATCTTATTTACTAGCTTCTTAGGAAGTAATATTTAAACCTAAACATACTGCTGGAAATATCAATATTTGTTGTCATTTAATATAACTTAATCTTACAAGTACTGAATTCAAAGAAAATATTATCAATCATTAGTTTTTGCTTCTGTTTTAGTTCCTACTTTTTGTAATAACTAAAATATTAGGTAATATGAAAAGTTTCACCGTTTTCTATCACTAGATGGCGTTGGTGCCATCTAGTTGTTCAATTCGTCGCTTGTGTAAAAATTTCTGTAGAAATACGTTATATGATGCATTATTATTAAAAAATGAAAAACTGCTACAAAAACAATTTACGGAGAGAATGCTGTGAGTGAACGTCCGACATGACATGATTTACTGAACTTAATTCCATAAATTACGATGTGAAATTTGTACTTGGGAAATCACTTGAAAATTTGATGAAATTTTGCGACTGTTGAACAAAGACCGACATGTCAACCGCATGAGTCTTGAACAAAAATCGACTAATCAACCTTATGAACGTTTGGAATCATTTAAAAAGAGAAAGCTACGCGAAGAAATTTGTTTGTCTAAATTACCATCAGTGAAACGCTGTTGAAGTGCAACAAAATCTTTGCAACTCCAATGCAACTTCCTCAAACACTCCAAAAACGTATTCAAAACCTGGATTGACGCAAGCAAGGTTATGTTGAGTCTTAAGTGGAATTGGAAGTATATTATCTATTACGACTTGCTCCAGCTTGGTGTAGCGTTTAATTCGGTGCGTTACTGCTCATAATTCGGACGCTTTAATAGAATAATGAAGGAAGATTACCAAAATGGGTCAACAGAAAAGAAGTTGCGTTCCACCATGACAATGCCAGACCACACATATCTTTGAACACTCGGAACAAATTGACGGAACTCGGTTGGGAAATCTTCATGCATCCATCGTATAGCCCGGATATTGCACTATCTGACTACCACTTGTTTCGATCTATGCTAAACTTTCTTGATGTTGAAAAATTGGCCAACCGCAGAGCCGCTAAAAATTATTTATCCAAAACGTTCAAAATTTTAAATAAATAAGAGTATCAGACAAATGTTTACGACAAACTATGGTACTCCTACTCCTACTTTTACTTATTATAAAACGTTTATAAATGATTTGAATACAACCTTTTTATTAATATATTTGAAAATTTTTTAAATTTAGTTAAAAAACTGTTAATAAAAGTTGTATAGAGTGAAATGAAGTCGCAAGTTTTCACCGTTTTAACAGCATTTACGATAATATAAGAAATTTCACACCTATTTGTGATACACCGAGTAAATTGTATAGCGCATTGTTTGTCTATACTGTAAAGCAATTGTTTTATTGTTTTTACAAACATTTTCCCGCTGGTGTATCTCAGCTAAACAAAAGCACATATGTCGCATATTCCATTTATCTTGTACATAATAAAGCCATTGAAATTAATTTTTCAACGCGGTTGCCGCCACAGATGTTCGTTTTTCTAATATATCGGCGTTTTTGATTTTCAAATAAGCACAACAGCCAAATAAGAAAAATTCTATGCTGACTAAAAGTTTTTCAATTAACATTCAAGTTAATTGCTTTAAAATTGAATTTAATTAATAAAAAAATCTATCTGAAGTAGAGAAGAATTCCAAGACTATGAAGTTGAGGACACGACGTCGATGGACACACATGAAATACGTAATGAGTCGGCGGAGGCACAACAAACGAAAATCGCAAATGGCTTGGAGGTTAGTGGAAACTTTTAAAGGTCAAATTAGTGTTTCATATGTTCTCAAGCCCGTATCTGCCATATTGTACCGCTTAGTTATCCATATTGAAAAAGTTTAAAAACATAAAAGTGAAATACATCCAATTTGAAATTATGCAGAAAATTCTTTTGTATGCTTTTTGCAATGAAAATTCAAATTTATTTGGGGCACAAGCTCATTAGCCCCCATTACCTCATTCATTTATCATAATTTGCTCTCCTACGGACTATTTCATTTTAGTCACGAATAACGCATATATTTTATATGTTATAAAATATTTTGAGATACTTTCTTCCAATGATTCACATTTAAGAGTTTGTACCTTAAAATGGGCGATATGCCAAAATTTATTAAACAAAAATTATAGAACACATGTGTGCGTAGTTAGTAAATAGGCCTAGGGGGCCATATTTAAAGAAATCTCTTTTTGGTAAAGATGTTTCAAAAAGTAGTGGACTAAAACAACAAAACTAAAACATATTGTTTTTATTAACTGAATACCCATCAACAGCGGTGTTGGACATATTTCTTGTATTTAATAAATCGTATATAATTTTATGAGACTACAAATACCAGGTATTGAACTCGTACTCTGTCAAATTTGAAAATCAGAGTCAGCGTTCATTAGCCAACGGATCCAAAGCCATACTTGACTTGTATGTTCGCACATTTTTCTGGAATTTTGTTAAGTTGCTGTAATCTCTCTTTGTATAAATTGTGGAACAAAAAAAAAGATTGCCTTGAAATAATCATCTGTTCTTATCAATATCATCCATGTCATCTTATGTCACCCAATCGAGAATCTAGTTTCAAATGCTGCACACAACTGTCCGATATACCTTCGACATTTATATATTACATTTTGTGGGAAATCGGGCCACCCCCTCTTATTATAAGATATTAATTTGATCGCAATCTAAAAATGGGGTTACTTGTTCATATGCGTCTCTTTGACTACGCTCATGATTGAACTCAAGGAAATTAGATTTATTATTAAAATTTTTCAAAATTTATAAATAAAAAATCAAATTTATTTTCTAACAAATTTAAAAGTATTTGAAAATGATTGGAGGAATACTTTATAAAAAATTATTAACAATATAAAAATTGTTCAAATGGAAATACTAAAATAGTACCTCTATTGAATATTTATATTTGTTTAAAATATCAATACAGAAGTGTCTATAAAAAATTTCTATTTTTCTGAAACCATATGCATACCTCCTCCTCATGCAGTGTTCAAAGATCAAATTTTCCTTTTTTCAACGTTTTATATATTATTTTCTTATTTTTAAGTGTTAAACATAGTACTAACGTCCATTTCGCATGAAAAATTGACATAAGACTACATATCACATCCTAAAATCTTTCTAAGATGTCAAAATTTTGGAGAACATTTTTTTATATGCAGTTTTATGTCAATTTTTGGTGCGAATAGATGTTAGTGCTAAGCTGTAGTTAAAAAAATTATTTCATAATGAAGTCCAAAACAAATTAAGTATCTATATTTTATGATTTATAAATTAAATAAATTAAATAAATTTATTTAAATTATTTTTTAAAAATATAAATAATAAACTCCACATTCTGTCAATGTCGTCAGACTCTCACTACTCCCTTGCCGATGAGTCAATAAATTTGACGATGTTTTACTGCTGTAATAGTGGTTCCAATCGTTTCAATCATCATTCTAATGGAATTAATCAACTAAATTCAATTCCCAATAGAATACCCAAAAAAGCAATTTACCTATGAACGTTAGCTTTAATTAAATAAGTAAAAGAAATTATTTTAAAAAACTTTTTATATTAAATTTATTAATTATAAAGTAATTTGTTAGTATTTGTTAAACATTAAATTAAAAAAACTAGATCATCTATTTAAAAGAGACGCCAAACATAATTGACCATTCATCAAATAAGGAAATAAGATTATCTCTAGACTTGATGACATTAATTTTCCTTTACTGAAGATATTTAAAACTCTCAAAATATTGTTTTAGATTACAATAACAAACAGCGCTATATAAAAATAATTAAATCAACAACAGAATTTAGGGCAATAATGTTAGGTTAGGTTTGAAGCCCATATAATTACACTGTAGGACAACAAATTCTATTTTCTAATTTTTCAACGGTTTTAGTTTAGTTTGAGGCTGTTGAGCTCAAATCTGCACCACATTACTCTGCTAGACATCTAAATTTCTAGCAATATACTATAAAATTATACTATAATTGTGGTTTTTAAATTAAAATGCACAAATTTTATGACTTCGGCAAATTTGCAACAAATAAATAGATACAAAAATTTGCCTTAGGCGTCCTTTGTCAAATTCCTCTCTTTCCTCCGCAAAAGTGGTGTTTTTCAAACATTTCTTAATAAACAACCTTAATAATTATAAGAATTTTTCTTTATGCAATCCTATTAATGTTAAACACTTAAACATTAGAAAAGAAAAAAGAGACTTCATTTCTGTTGCACAGTGTTTCCATCAACACATTTAGACCATCTACCGGACCATCGTGATATCGTTTATAGAATGTTTTCTCTCCCACATCACAATATTGAAAACCAACTCGATGCTATCATAGAGTTTGCCAACTATCTCATTGGAATGTTCGTAAAGATAAATATAGAGTTTGCCAACTATCTCATTGGGATGTTATTGAAGATCCATCCATCGATTTATGAAGTCAGTCTAAAAATCTAAAAAGTCATCAAAGCAATAACGCAGCAGGTGATGTAAACTTCTCCTTTGTCTTTACAGCTTCGACAAAAAATCACAGATTTGACATTGTTTTCATTTTCACCATTGATTATTTTCAAATCTTTAAATTAAAGTGAATTTCATCACTAGAAATGAATTCATTCAAAACGATGAAATCAAAAACGGTTTTCAACATTCCATCAAATTAGTTACAACGCTGAAATATGATCAAGTTTTTTAAATCATTGTACTAATCAAACACTATCCAAATTTATATGTTTTACACATAGTGTAAATAAAACTATACAAATAAGCGGAATGTATATTATTCTTCGTCACTTATGATATATTCCATATCATTTTCATCATTTTCAGTCTTAATATTAAATTCCTCAAATTCTGTAGGTTCGCTATATACATCAGATTCTTGGGTTGCATCATCACTAAGCAAACTCACATTTTCCATGATATCACTTTCGTTGACAGTTGAAGGAACAAAGGATTGAGTGTTTTTATTTTCCATATTTCTTTGTTTTTTGCAGCATTTGGAATTATAGTATCTGATATAAATTTTACCACGCCTTGCGGTCCGATAATACCTAAGCTTTTCAGTTGGAAACAATTCTAAAATCTGTCGTTCTATCTCATAATTAGCGGGTAATGATAAATGTTCATTAGTCTTTATGAAATGTTCTACCATCAAAGTCATAAGTGTGCTGCGATGTTCAGGTGTCATAATTTTATTTTGGTTATAGGATTCAAGTATTTCGAAGCCTCTAAATCCTGCAGACTTCAATATATCTAATACCGAAAATTTTGGTATACTAACTACTTTATTTGTTCTACGAGTGTTAGATGGTGGACAGAAGTCCATAATGTCAACTTTTGATTTTTGTGGCACTTCTTTCGGTTTTTGTACTTCCAAACTTTTATTTATTATCGGTACTATCTTAATGGATGGTGGAAGTGCTAATAATGGTGGAGGAGGTAGATTAAGAGATATTATATTTGTTTCGACCGGATCAGTATTTACGCCAATACTAACTGATTCTTTCAATTTCGAATTGTGTTCATAGCCAAATTGAATTTCATTATATATAGATTCACTTGGAGGTGTGTTCATATAAACCGTACTAATATTGGCAACAGGCTTGTTTATACTACGTCGCCAATTTTCGAAGTAATATTCAAACCGAATCCGAATACCCATACGGTAATTACGTAAAAGTTCTACAACGTGTTCCTTTCTCATCATTTCCAGTTCTGCAATATCAATGCTTTCATCTGAAATATAAAAAATGTATTATTTATTAGCCACATGTATACCAAAATAAACGAGTAATGAAAAAAAAATCGGAATCATTGCCACCGATTTCGAATTTACATTGCCGTATTGTCATTAACAAAAACAAGCAATTAATTAAAAAATTTTTTTTAATTCAAATATTAAAACCTATTAATCATTTGACCAGAAAATAAAAGAAAATTTTAATAATATATACACTACTTACTCTCAATATGTTCCACTAATTTTTCACAATTCCACGATGTTAGCAGAGTCCTAAGAGGTGTATCATTTATAAAACACCTATTCATCTTAAAATCCGCTAAAAATGTCAAAAAAATTGATTTAATAATTAATTTAATAATTAAAAAAATTAATTTAATTATTTTTTTAAATAATTAAATTTTATTTTGAACTTTAATATGCTTAAAGTTAAGATAGCTTTCTTTAAATAACTACATAAAAATGTATATGACATTAAAAGTATTTTAAAATAAATAATATAATGTAATGGAATAACCCTAAAAAACAACACACACTTTTGTAATGTAACCTAAAATATTTATTATATAATATGTAGTTGTTATAATTATAAAATAATTTCAAATAAGTTGACTTTTAATCTGCTTTTTCCTTGTTCGAAGAGGTTGCTTCATTCAAGACCACAATGTCCATAACTTTTTCAGTTCACAATGTGTCGTAAACTATAAGAACTACTGAAAATCTTACATCTATTATTTTGACAGAGCTGAAAGCTCAGAGTGTCACTTCGGCTAAAGAAATTTTCACTATCTCTAACTTTATATTTGGATCTTGGAAGATCAAAAATACACATTTTGTTTTTCGCAATAAAATAGATATTTTTATTTACATAGGATTATTATTGGTAATTTATTATATTGTTAATCAAAATAATACCACTTGATAATATGGACAATCAATGAAACATAATTGCCTGATTATCGAGAGCATACTGTATGTTATTTGAATATGTATATACAGAATTATGTATATACAGAAAATTGTAAGAATTATATAGTACAGATGTGTACATGTTGGCTTATATTATATCATAAAATCAAAAACGATAATTATTATTATTATTATATCATTATTATTATGTTGTTGTTATTATATTGTTATTATTATATTATTATTATTATGTTATTATGATTATACTATTATTATAATATTATTATTATTATGTTATTATTATTACAATATTATTATTATATTATTATTATTATGTTTTTATTATAACAATATTATTATTATATCATTATTATTATAATATTATTATTATATTATTATTATTATAATATTATAATTATTATTATAATTTATTATTATTATTATTATTATTATTATTATTATTATTATTATATTATTATATTTTTTTTATTATATTATTATTGTATTATTATTATTATATAATTATTATTATATTATTATAATTATATTATATTACTATTACATTATTATTATTTTGTTATTATATAATTATTATTATATTATTATTATTATAAGTATATTATTAATATTATTATATTATTATTATTATTATTATGTTATTATTATCAATATTATACTATTATTATTATATTATTATCAATATTATACTATTATTATTATATTATTATCAATATTATACTATTATTATTATATTCTTATCATTATTATATTATTATCATTATTATTATACTATTATTATCACATTATTAGTAATACTATAATTATATTATTATTGATTATTATATTAGTATTATTACAATATTATTATTACATCATTATTATTACATTATTATATTATTATATTTTTATCATTATTATATTATTATCATTATTATATTATTATCATTATAATATTATTATCATTATATTATTATACTATTATTATTACATTATTATAATAATAATAATAATATTAATAATATAATATTATTATTATTATTATATTATTATTGATTTTTATATTATTATTATTGATTATTATATTATCATTACAATATTATTATTATATCATTATTATTATAATATTATTATTATATTATTATATATTTATCATTATTATATTATTATCATTATTATTGTTTATTATTATTATATAATTATTTTTATATTATCATTGTTATTTTCTATTTTTAATTTAGTGATTTAAACATTAACAAAAAAGAAACAAACTAAAGTAAAAGAACAATGTAATCTTGATAAACGCGCTATCGTCGATCGGTGTTGTGATATATCAGAACCAATTATATACATAAAGTTATACAAAAAAATTAAATCAAATTGTGGCTGAGTATATAATATATAAATTAATTTATACTCATAGTCTTATGACGCTTAAATTCTTTTAGTAAAGAAAAAATATAAACATACAAATAATATATGTATGTATTTATATTGTACTCACCCTGGTGAATTTATTACTAATTATCTTTTAAGAAAAAACAAAAAAAAAAAGAACTTTAAACACACACTCACCAACCTTAACTGTTTGAGAGCAAACACTTTACTGAATAAATTTGTAATGCACATTCGCTAACATTTACTATTTTCATTACTTTTCATTTGTACTCACTCATAAGAATATTTTTTTTAATTTACCCCTAACTTCTTTACAATACTTCGTCGTTAGTTCACAACGATTCTCTGAGAAACACAAATATTCGTTAAGTTTTATTCTTTCTATACATTCTTTTATTCGTGCACATTCGTTTTTCTATGGCGCCTAACATTTGCTTCATTATGCGTATTTGTTGGTAGCGCAGGCAGCATTATTTCACGAAAAGAGATATAACAAAACGAGAGAATAGCAAGCAACATGAAGGCAGAAAAAATTTTTGACGACGCAAAGAAGAATCTAAAAAACGAAATTACTCAAAATTTAGTGATATAAAAAATTTTTTTTGCTGATAAAATGTCTAAGAACTTAAATTAATGAGCAAAGAGTTTTTGTAATATTCAAACGGCAGGATTTTCATTAGTGATGTTGTTTCTTTACCGATGCCTTTGCAACAAATATACATATATCCAGATTGTGTATATATGTTGTATATATGTGTACATATGTATATTTTGTGGTGGATAATACCTGTTAATTTAAACTTCAATAGTTTTTTTTATTGTAATAAATATTTTTCGATGAAAATTAAATACACAATAGTATACATGTACATATGTATGTAAATTTATTTTTAAAATATAAATCTTGACAATTTAAATTTTTATACATACATACATGTGTAATTTAAAGTATGTATGTACGTACGCAGATGCTTTTGCAAAATCTTTAAAGAGTAAATTTATGCTCAATCTAAAATTTGTAAAAAATAAACAAAATTAGAAAATAATGTTGACAATTACGGAAGTAGGCACCTTGCCTTAAACAAATCTGGAAGAAATTAGAAGTTGGAATCAATAACATGTGCTTAAACATCTGTATTAAAGCAGTACTTCCCGCAAATCTGAAAATCTGCAGTTATAGCAGTCTTTCCAAAACCTAGAAGAGACTACCTGGTATAGGTAAAATAGCAAAAAAATAGTATTGGCAAAACTTAAAAATATATATACATATGTATGTAGTTATAGCTAAAGTTATCATTCCCAAAGAACAGTTTGGATTCCAAGAAAATGTTTCTACTGATCTCCAGCTAGTAATAATTACTCGAAATATAAAAAAACTCTCAGTGAAGTACAATGTACTGGGGTGGTTTTGTTTAATATTGCTAAAGCTATATGAAGGCTACAACTTCATATTGATAACATAATGAAATACTTATTGTAAAACGTAGGAATCAGAGTCCCAATAAATAAAAGTCAATAATGTTGAAATAAAATTGAAAGATGATGTGAAATACTCTGGACTTACTTTTAACAAAAGATACACTTGGCTAGAGAATATAATGACCATAAACCTGATTTGTAATATAACTCCGAATGGTTTGAAACTAATAATACAAGGAAAGTATCAAAAATAAACCTCTGCTAAATAACATTAGAAATGAGATATACGCAAAGACTTTTAAGTGTCAAGTCAATTTGAGTCTAAAGTGTTTTTTTAACATTTCTGTGTGTTAAAAAAAACTTCTAAATATAACTGTAATAATTAGTTATCATAAAGTAGTTGTGACAATACTGAACTTATATACGATGACAGATTAAAGAATGAATTGTGATATTTGCACGAATACATTAAAGAACTATTTCTTGTCTATAACTAGAGAATTGTATAATAAAAAACTTCGCATACTTAGAATTCTGAACCTTTACTAATGGTAAAAGATATGTAATGGAAAATTCCGATTTAAACAAATTTTCGTCCTTTCTAGAAGTCCACAAATTCTTTTATTCTGAAACGAACGTTTAACTGATAAAGCCACGTCACCCATAACGGGTACCACTTGATTAATGGGAACACGGTTCCATATATCTCAGCATATTTGTCGCTTTCATAAATAAAAAAGTATTATGGAGAACTTACTGTATCCTTACCACACACTTTACGAACAAATTGGATTAAAACTATATGTAAAAAAATGTATATAGCGTAACAAACTTGTTTAAATATTTTAAATTTTATATAAACATAAATTTATTATACATACAAAACATATTTTATTACAAATATACATCGTCAATATGAAGCACCTCATAGGCTAATGTTTCTTATTCATAACGTGTTAAAATCGTGTGTATCGTTTTCATCTTTAATTTTAAAACCCTCAATCATCCCAGGTGCATCACAAGACTGTAATTGTTGGTTACTATCAAGCAAATTATTTGATTTGTTATTATCCAAACTGTCATGAGTTTTAGTACCTTTACTATTCACAATTATTCGTTTTGCACGTCTATAACATTTCGAATTATAATATCTGACATAAATTCTCCCACGTCTGGAGGTACGATAGTTTCTAAGTTTCTCAGTCGGGAACAGATTTAGAATCTGTCGTTCTAAAGCATAACTTGTTTTCAGTGAGATATGTAGGTTGTTCTCTATAAAATACTCTGCAATTAAATTTACAATTGTTGTGCGATCTTGTTCTGTCAGAATGCGGTTCTTCTCATAGGATGCAAACACATCTAATCCTTTACATCCAGATGATTTAAGTATATTCATTACAGACATTCTACGTGAATTATTTGATTTCTTATTTTTTATTTTTATATTACAACGAGAAGATGAGGGGGGAGACATTGGGATTAACTGTGGAAGTTGTTGCACATCTTTATGCTCTTGCGTTTTTCTCTTTTTTTGCGTTGCTATAATTGGTGGTGGAAGTGCAACTAATGGTGGAATTGGTGGATTTATAGAAATTGTGCACAATTCTACTGGATCAGTATTTACGCCAACACTGACAGATTTTTTACTTAGCATCTGAGTATTTTCATTAGGATTTTGAAATCCATTGCATGTAGGTCTAAATGGAGCCGTGTTATTATAATTTGCAACACTATTTACAATTGGCTTGTTTATACTACAACGCCATTTTTCAAAGTGATGTTCGAATCGAATCCGAATACCCAAACGATAATTGCGTAATAGTTCAGTCATATGTTCCGCCTTCATCATTTCTAGTTCTTCAATATCAATGCCTTCCTCTGAAATTAAAATATATAACATTTTTTAACCATATCTATGACATTAAGTTCGTACGCATATATATAAGTAATAATTAATATATTGTATATTTTACTGCAGTCAATATCGAATTTATTTATATTCCCGTTCACGATTTTAAAGAATTCAAATCAAGTAGATAATTATTATTATAGTACCATGCATTTGTGGTATGAACACTTACCTTCAATATGTACCGCGAGTATTTGACATTTCCAAGATAATAACAATTTCCTAAGTGAAGTATCATTTGAATAATACCCGTTCATTGTTTTTATAACTAAAGATAGAGCAGAAAAAAAATATCTTTCTATAATATTGAATATGATAATTATGATTTTAATAAGACTTTCAAATATATTCATAATTCATATACTTTTTTATACTACCTTTACATCAAGTTTACTTTATTATATTATTTTTATATTTTATATATTCAAATTAATGGATCTATGGAACGTCTACACTAAGGTATAGTGGAGGTATAAGGTATAACCCCAAAAACGTAATTTGAAAGAAAATATGCGGGCTTTTCTGTCACCACTTTTTAGGTTAGTAGTATTGTCACTGACATCTGTGTCAAATTTTATATCAATAACTGGAAATCAGTCTGGAAAAACTATTTCGTCAAAAATTTAGCTTATTTCGTATTCTCAATATACGAGCTCAAGAGATTATCTAATATCATATGTTTGATATTATAAGGAAGTACGATAAAAATGTTTACACAGACCTTTTTAAGTTTGCAATTTTCTAATTTATATTTCGTTCTCGACATAATTATATAAGTGGAGGGCTAAAGATTCTGTAATGGAGCATAAGGTGGAGCATGTTATAGAGATAGTCATATAGTGAATGGATACAACATTTTTTGGCTGTTTTTGGTCACAATCAAAGAGCATATCATACAGGAAATATGTGTGTAGGGAAATATTAAATTATCCGACAGTGAATTATAGAAAATCAAAATTTTGGACACTAAGGAAATTTGTACGTAGATTATACATACAAATTTAAGTTTAAGGTCCAGCTTAATAGTTAACAAGCTTGAGAATTTTATTTATTCTATCAAATCACAAAAAAGCCTTAAAAGCAGATCTTTTCTCTTGGTGAATTGCTTACATCCATTATCGTTAACATCGGTGGGTTTTGTGTGCAATTTCTCAGTAATTCGCTCTCATTTGAACAAAAATGGAATGAAATGCGAATGATAAATCAAAAAGAAACAAAAACAATAAATAATAAACGTCAAAGAAACACTTTTAATGCGTTTGAAAAGTAGGCTAGGTTGAAATGGCAGGCTTATTGATCAAAGCCCACTTCAGCTCTGCGTCCCGTTCTGATACCACGGATTTGAAAACTAGGAATCAATAAATTTTGTTTTTCTGATACAAACATTAAGTAATTACTTCAAATTTTTTTTTTTTGTGGGAACACAATTAATTATTTTATGTATAATAAACAAATATAGTATATTTGTATATATAATAATCTTTCTTACCAAGTTTTATTTAAATCTCCTTAAATTTAACTTAATGAGAACAAAATTTAAACAAACACACTTGTCTACTTCAACTCTTTGAATGCACACACTATACGAAATAAATTTACTTGTGCTGAATGCATTTTTTTTCATTACTTTTTATTCGCATTATTCTTTTTTCTCAAAAGAGTAAGAGCTTCTCAGCGCTACGGTTTATCGTCTGCCATCGACAAACCTTCGTTAAGTTTTATGATGAAATATTTCATATAAAATTTTTATTCGTTTGCAGTCGGTTTTCCGTCGTTCCAAACATTTGCTTCATTATGTGAACTTATCAGTGTGTATAGGCAAAGGAAGTATTCCAAAGAGGAATAACAATAAATATGAAAACTGCATGCAAATAGAATTATTCATCAACAATAAAAAAACGGAGTCTAAAAAACACTCGCTTTTCAATTATGCAAAAAATAAATTTTCATGAATTATAATTTAAAAAATAAATTATTTAAATTAAATATTTTCATTTATATTCTTTTTTATATTTTTTTTTGTTACATTTGCACGAATAATTTATCAATTTTGAATTATGTAAATATTTCATTATTGAATATTAAATACTTAGTACAGTAATCCCTCTATAACGCGTTTTCATATTACGCGATTTTAATCCCCCGTATAACACGGACATTTCCCTATATAACGCGGGGATTTGTTCATAATTACAGTTCATAATTAGTTTTGCGTACCTTTGCACTTGTGTATACCCGTATAACCCGTATAATGCGCGTAACCAATCTACCGCGTTATAGGGGGGATTACTGTATGTATATATTAGGTCTGTTCCACGAGTTACACATAGTAAACCATGAGTAAAACAGAAGTAAAGTACAAACTGAGAGCGTAACACAAATAAAGTGCCAGATTACGCTCTTTACACAAATTTTCATGGAACAGCTTTGAGTAAAGTCTGGTGAAAACGGCTGTTTTTTGAAAAACAAAACAGTAGAAATAGAAATTGAAAAATAACAGACAAACACATTAATAATAAAATAATTAATATATTATATTTATTTATTTTTAAACTTATTTTAATATATTACATATTATTATTATTAGGACACATTATGTTAAAAACATATTTACTTTTAATATTATAGTCTTTATGTTTAGTTAGAATTAAAAATTTATTTAAATAATGTAATTTTAAAGCTAAGATAGAATTAAGTATATATTTATAAAATGTGATGTTAATATGTTAATTAGAATTAAGTTCTTTATTGCAATATTAATAAAATTAATTAATGAAAAATAAGCAATATACAAATAAACACTTTAATCCAAGTTATTTTCTGTTTGTAATTCATTCCAAATCGAATCTCTAACGATACTTGATCTAAAAGGGATGTGGTTGTTGACATCATTATCTTCCTCAGATTGTTCTGAAAATGTGAATTCTAAGTCGTTTTCATTTGCAAGTTTGTGCAAAACGCAACATGCTCTTATAAAGTGACACAGTTTTTCAACTCCTTTTAATTTACAGTAGTACAGCTGTCTAAAACGTTGTTTTAAAATACCAAATGCATTTTCTATTAGTATTCGACCTGACTCCAATTTTCTATTGAAATTCTTTTGTGCACGAGTAAGACGCCCGTTGTCTTTACATGGCGTAATGATGTGTTGTGTACAGGGGTATGCGGAATCAGCCAGTAGATAGTATTCTGTAAAGGTAAGACGTTTTAATAAATCTCATTTTCTTTTCCAAAGAACTTACCTCCACAGTTCTATGGTAGTCGCATATAAATAGGAGAGTTTTATAAGACCCAACTGTCATGACAGGAGCCTGGATGTCCGACAAATATGCTAATAAATTTTCTATTTTCATCACAGATGGCTTGCAGGCATAATGAAATATTTCCTTTTCTGTCAATGTAGTCGTCCTTACGATCTCCAGGAGGATCAATAGTTCTACGAGTGCCATCTAGGCAACCTGCAAAGTAATATGTATTAATATATATGCAACGTTAATATGCACATAAATCCTTACCTATAACTTTTGGAAAATTGCATAAGCTTCGGAAAAATGTACTCGCTTCTTCCTTTTTTGATGTGCTAGGCCATGCAATTATATGCGGACACATGTTGCTAAAGAAAGTTATCATCCTTCTTATAACTCGGTTTACTGACGATAAAGAGAGATTAAAACGATCTGATAAATCTCTAAAACAACATGCTTCGTGACCAGCAAACCATAAAAAAACAGCAACCTGAGCTTCTGGAGAAATGTTCAGCTCACTTACTAGCAGTGCAATAAAGTCGGTACTATTTTGAAATTTTATAGCCAAAGAATTAAAAAGGCTCCGCGAAATACGGAAATGAGTTTTGAATTCCTTGTCGTCATATTTGTAAACAACATCTTGTATATAATTTTTTATACATACACGTTTTCTTTTTTTTTTTATGTAATATCGAATACACCAATTCTACATTATCGTCAGAGTCACTATCTCGAAGTGTATTAACTACGTTATATTCTGGTTGTGTTGTGTTACTTAAATCACTTAATAAAATATTTATTATGTTTTTATCCATTTCAATATTTATTTATTACAATTGTTACAATTAAAAATGCAGAATTTTTTTATATTCACAAATGCCGCGCAAACAAACAATACAAAAATTTGAATTCAAACCATAACAGCTGATTTACACATAAACACAAATTTTACTTCATATAAAATGCATGAGTAAAGTCTGCGTAACATTTTCAAATTTCGACAGGGATGTTACGCTCTCTCAGATGCTCTCATTTACTCACAAATTTGTTCGTGGAACGCACTTGTGTATACACAGTGTTACTCAAAGTTACTATGTGTAGCTCGTGGAACAGACCTATTATGTGTCTTTGTTAATATGTGTATATAAATTCATCTTACTACCATTTATTTTTATATTTAATTTTCATTTATGCAGAAGTATTATGTAAAAACTTCTTATATGAAATTAATGCAAAACAAAAAGAGAGCAAAATAGTGGGGTCTAGTATGAAGATTATTTAGATTCAAATAAGTTTTAGACAAAAGGCCGCTTAACCTCACCTAAAGCATGATATAGACGATGAAATTTGTTTGCAAACCAAATTTGCAAACCGAATATGCGCTTTGCTATACACTTTGAAACAAGGTTGGCAAACTTCATTTTTATTTATTTTCTACAGCGTTAATATCAACAGCGGAGTAAGTACAGAGTGCAAAACAATAATTGAAACTGAAGAAATTGAGGTGATGATCATAGCAACCTGTTATTTATTTCATTTTTTAAACTAAAATTATTTTTGTTTCAATTTTTTAATATGTTACATTTTAAAATTTTTATTCATATAATAATTGTTTAAATATTAAAGCTTACTATAAAAATGTTTTTAGCACAAAATAATTTTTAAAATATATAAACTTCTTCAATAATTGTCTAATGTCTAGCAATTTTTTAATTATTTTTCATTTATTTTTCTTTTTACCAAGAATTAATAATTTTTTTCTGTAATCTTTGCTAGTCCGACGCTCACCAAAATTCTTAAATTATGAGAAGTTTGCAAACTTCGATATACACAAGTAAACATGTTTGCAAACTTAACAAATAATTGAAAAATTTTAATTTCACTGCAAACTAGTTTGCAAACCAAATTTTGGTTTGCAAACTTGAGTATAGACGATGCAATTTGATAGCCAGCAAACCTTGTTTGCAAACAAATTTCATCGTCTATATCATGCTTAAGATAATTGGAATAAGTAAGGCAATTCAAAAATCTAATCTAGAAAGTAGTAGTAAAAATTTTGGAATAACTGAGTAGGGCAAAGAGAAAAAAAGAAACGAAAACTAATTGGTATGTTGAGACAAAACTTACTCTCTATAGATCGTTCATCTTAAGTGGGTAATACACTCAGACACTCAACAAAAAATAACAACAAATATGCTATAAAATTAAATCATGTGTGCATTCAAACTATGTTTTCGCTTCCATCCCTTAAAATAGAATGAAATTTACATGTAAGCCGGTTGTACACGAAAAATCATGGGCAAGTCGGACGAAAAATCAAAATATTTTGATTTCCATCCGTCTGCTCGTCATGCCTACAAGTAGGATGTGTAATACCTGCTTTACTTGTGCTTCAGTATAGCACGAAAGCACAGATGCCATCACAGAATAATGAAGCGGCATTGGGAATTTTGGAGAAAAAAGCTCTTCTTTAGATCTTTGGTCTCCTATAAGTTGTTGACGACTACCACATCCATATTAAACACGCGCTGTACGTGCTTTATCACGACATTCAAATCATTCAGCGAATTAACATCCAGTGTCTTCAACAGGTTGATCATATCGTTAGAATGGATGATGAGGTTCCAACAAAAAAGATATTTGAACCGGCAATGGCAATAAGAAGACAGAGAGATCGTTATCTTAACCTTTGATGAAGTGATCAAGTTATGGGAACACTAAACGCACTTGATGTACGGGAGTGGAGAATGTGCGCACGCAGCTACGTCATCCGATACCTGATAACGAGTTTTCATGACCGTTAAAGTATTTGGAAAATATATAATAAAAAGTTTGTACTGTGAAATCGTACATTTCTTGAGTATATATATTAAGCTTAATCTATCCTCGCTGAATACGAAAACAAGTCCTTTAGTATTAAATATTAATTAACATTGTTTAAGCATCATGTGACTTAAATTAATTTTATTATTTTACTTTAAACACTAATTATTCTTCTTATTTGTCTTTCTTACATCTGTTATACTACATTGTTACTTGAATATAAGCAATCATTGATAATATATTTAAATGAATTATAAAGCTAGCCTAAGTTCTTATTTGTAAATGCTGGTATATATGGGGCTATATATCTCTTTATTAAACAGATCTACTTAATTTTTCATACTAAACTGTTTAACACCTCATACTAAGCAATTTAAAACATCTTTTTACTATAAGTGTAACCGAAGAAACAATGTACCTAAAAATATGTCTAAAGTAAGATTTCAAAATGAAAGAAGGGTCTATGGGAAAATGGGAATGTGTATTTACGCGTAGTCAAGTACAGCACTTAAAACCAGATTCCTAACTTAATGATTTGTTAGCTTTATAGTATAAAAATAGATATAAAAATAGGGTTGGGGCGACTTTTATATATCCTTTTTTACCTTTACTTTCAACATTATTTTTGAAACGATAACAACTAATTTTTAATAGTATTTAACTTAATAGTAAATTGTTTATTACATATGTTTTTTATGTATAAATACATAAGTAAAGCAACTATTTACAATTCATTGTTCTCGAAATTAATATCATCATTCGTTTCAGGCAAGTCGATTTCATTCTTAATTTCTACTTCAAACAAATCCGTAGCATTGGTACAGGACTCAGAATTTTGAGCGAAATCCTCACTGGACAGATTAGGCAAATCGATTTCATTCTTAATTTCTACTTCAAACAAATCCGTGGCATTGCTACAGGACTCAAAATTTTGAGCGAAATTCTCACTGCACAGATTAGAGCTTTCAGTCATATTGTCGTCTAAGTTGCAATCGTCATTTACAGAGGGTTCACAGCTTTTAATCTTGTTGACATTTTTCCGTTTTTTTAATTTTTGGAGTTCAAGATATCTTTTATAAATTCTACCCAATCTTCCGCTTCGATAATAAATTAGGAGCTCATTCGGAAATACATGTCTAATTTGGAATTCTAAATCGTAACTTCCCTTTAATGACAATTTTTGGTTGTGTTCTATAAGATATTTTGCAATCACATTTATCAATGTTGAACGCTCTTCTCGTGAGAGAATGCCGTATTTTTCATAGGATGCAAGTATATCCATACGTCCAGAGAATTTTAATATATTTAATACCGAAAATCCTGAGGAACCAAACACTTTCCTCTTCTTTTTAAACCAAATAAATTTTGGAACTTCATCTACAACACGGTTTACAATGTTTCCATTTGTTAGAGTAGTTGCTTTATTTACTGGTATCGGAACTGAGTTTGGTGGCAGTGAATTTATGGAAATTGTATTTAATTCCATTGGATCAGTATTAACACCAATACTGACAGATTCATTTGTTCGAGAAATTGTATTATTTCCTGATATTGGTAGTGAGTATGGATCAGTATTCACACCAATGCTGACAGCTTCACTTCTTAACGTCGAAGTATTTTCTTTTCCATATTGCAATTCATTGATTGTAGATCCATATGGAGTGATATTCACAGAATTCGCGCTATTTTTGGTTATCGGCTGATTTATACTACGACGCCATTTCTCGAAATAATGTTCAAATCGAATCCGAATACCTAAACGGTAATTACGTAAAAGTTCAGTCATATGCTCAGTCTTCATCATTGTCAGTTCTTCAATATCAATGCCTTCCTCTAAAATTTAAATTTACAATATTATTTCACCGCATCTTTGAAAATTCAAGAAATAAATAAAATATAATAAATACACAATAATAGACCTGTTCCACAGCCTACTCGTAGTAACACTCAAGTAAAAAACACAAGTAAACTACAAACTTAGATTTTCATGAAAAAGCTTTGTGTAAAGTCAAAAATTTAAATTCAAACCAAAACAGCTGATTCACACATCAACACAAATTTTACTTGAAATAAGATGAACGAGTAAAGTCTGCGTAGCATTTTCAATTTTCGGCAGGGATGTTACGCTCTCTACAGATGGTCTGAATAACACGAATATTTGCTGGTGGAACGCACTTGTGTATACACATAGTTACTTAAAGTTACTACGAGTAGCTTGTGGATATTATAATTAAATATAAATTTATAGAATTTATAATTATTTTAAAACAAACAAAAAAAATTATAATATATATCGATATCTTAAATGATATAAACATTCACCTTCAATGTGACTCGCGAGTACTTGACATTTCCAGGATGATAATAACTTCCTAAGTGCAGTATCATTTAGGAAAAACTCATTCATTGTATTTGATGCTGAAAATAGAGCAAAAAAGTATTTGTTGCTATTATATTGTCAATTGATATTTGTTGTTTTAATATATATATTTAAAATTCAAATAGTCTTCTAAAACTAACAGCTTTATTGATTTTGTATATACCAGTGACACGAGTATATCGTATAATTTTGTAGACCATGTGACTAAACTAGTCATATGTGGTAAAAAAAAAAACAAATTTCGTTCAGAATTTCAGGTTACAAATGAGAGAAAGCGCGTAGAGGACGTACACATTTTTGGTTCAACGACAGGTGATAAACGATTTAAGGGTATTCGGTTCTATTAAATGGCGACAACGAGCCACTGATTAGGTTGGTTGGCAGAAGCTACTGGACGTGGCCAAAAACGACTCATGTTTGTAATGGCCAACTGATTAAGTAAGTAAGACCATGTAACAATGTAAACCAGTTACACAAAAAAAAATAACATAACAAATATATTATATGATTCCAAAATGGTGTGGTATAGATATAAATCATAGTATATTGAAATGAAATCGATTCATTGCCATCTGTATTGCATTTTTAATTTCTGCCTAAATTCACATCTTAGTGATAGCTAAGATAACTAGTATAAATAATTTTTTAGTCTGTGGAACTGATTTCGGAGACACACTGTTACTTCTTTTTTCAACCATGTGAATATTGAATTTAAATCTGGACATATACGATAAAATTTTGACCACAAAAATCAATTTCGAAAGCAAATTTTCACATAAAATTGGTCTTACATATGCATAGAAGTTATTAAACTAAAATGCATTTTCTATTAAGTTATTTATATGACAAAATTTTAATTATTTATACAGGGCTTTAGGGGTTTTCTTTTTGGAGGATCGTGGCGAACTTTAGGACCTTTCTTTGAATAGCACCATCCAAACACCAAACCTTGGGTTTTTAACAATACGGTAGCACGATGGGGATATATATCTAGTGGATCCTCTTGGAATCACCGGTATAATCTAAGCTAACCTAACTATACTGAATATAATGGATATTCCATTACTTGAATTTCAGTTCATTTGTCACGTATAAAATAATTTTTTCTTAATTAACTAAAGTTAGTTATGTTAATTTCGACACGAAACGCTTTTATACTGTGTACCAGTGGCGACGCTAGTCACCGGCGATATCGGCGATACCGACATCGTACTTCTTTAGGTAAAATACTTCGGAAAGGTTAAAACAGCGACATTTAGACTTTTTTACTGTATGAGGAACTGCTGCACTAGAATCAATAAACGATATAAAGAAGCTCATCCTGAAGGAATCTTCTCAAAGTTAAAATTGAGAGAGAGGGGCTATCTGAGAGAGAGAGAGAAAATGGCAGCCACGGTTGCCACTTATGGTACTTTAGTACCAAAATTGGTACTTTTTTTTTTTTTTGCGTTTGGTACTCATGTTCAAAAACTGGTACATTTTTGACGAACCAAATTTTTTTTTGGATATTTCCAATTAATTTTTTTTATAAATGCAATTTTGCACTATTTTATATATTGTTCATTTATAACACTATGAAAAACACAGAACGAGAAAACAAAAAGGTCCAAAAAAATTTTGGACCTTTTTTTACAGAAATGGAACCTTTTTAAACCAATTTTGGTACAGAAAAAAATTTTCAAGTGGCAACCGTGATGGCAGCTGGTGCAAATTTTAATATAATTTAAAAAATATTGAGTGAAAGAGACTAAAGGCGGGAAAATTTAATTATTTTAATTTGTGTTTATTATAATTTGAAAAACAATAAAACTTTCATACTAGCTTCGTCGTATTAGTGAATATAACTCATTTACATTTATAACTCAGTAATGAAAGGGGACTCGCAATTCTGATCTCGCCGACGTCCAGAATTGGTTTAGCTCCGTCACTGTTGTGCACCCTTCCAATAATTACAGATTTGTTAGTTTCGTTGTTCTCTTTTCGTTTCTTTATAATATATAATTAGTGAAATATATTGAAATATTACAAATCACACTAACTAGAACTAAGGTCTAAATATAAAACCTGACTTAAAATAGAACATTTGTGTTACATTCATTCATTTCTGAAAATTATGTTATAAAATATTTTAATGATACCTTAGCAATAACTGCAATATCACTTACGAATTGAAACAATTTCGCATGATCTAATCCAGTGATTAAAAGGAATTACTATTATCCAAATTTAATAACTAGAAACTTAGGTACATGTATGGTTTTTTCATTATTATATACCATATAATAATTATAACAATTTTTATTAAAAAATATGTTCTATACTGTGCAAATTTACAAGAACATAATACATATTTATATAAAATTATGTTTCTTACCAATCTCTATAAATTTAATTTAAAAAAAAATTTAAACAAACGCTCGTCTACTTCAAGTCTTTGAATGTACACACTTTACTAAATATATTCGTAATACTTGTTTTTTTTTTATTATTTGTTATTGTTTTTTATTCATACACTTTATCGCCATCCCTTCAGTGCTATCTATGACTTATCGTTTTTTCTTTTTTTTCTCAAATTTACCCTCAGCTTCTCAGTACAATGGTTTACGTTTGCATACTACAAGAAACGTCAAATCTTCGTTAAGTTTTATAATGAAATATTTTTTCGCTCGCTGTCGGTTTTCCATCGGTCCTACCTTTTGCTTCACTGGACTTATCGGTGTGTGTGAGGAATGACAAATGTGTACATATGTGTGTAAGTCACAGGTAAATTTAATTACACATCAACTCTAAGAAAGAGTTTAAAAATTTTTCATTATTTTTTTAAAAATGTACTTAATAATTAAAATCAAAATTATTTTGACCAATTAATTTAATATAAACATTTTTAATAATAATTTTTTTTACGGACTAATTGGTCAATAGTTAAATAATAAACTCTTTAAAAAATTTTATTTCGACTGCAATCTATACTCATCATCAGGGTATTATAAAATTTTAATACATTACAGTAATACATTTAGTACATTATTATTATTATTAAAAATATTTTGTCATTAAAGAAATAAATTATTATAAATATTTTTGTTTTCAACAAATCTTTTATTTGTCCTTTAGTTTTTGATTTTGTAATATCCATATACAAATTCTTAGCTCCCATCAGTGTTTGAACTACCGAACAGGGCTTTTAAATCACCCATACTGCCTAACACATGGGCTGTTATCAAATTCCCGTCGACTAAAAAGATTTTCTACGTCGAATCTGCGAAATAGAGAACCCAAAATACGATTCACCAAACTCAAAACTGGAAAAAATGTTTAATTTTTTTTTGCTCGAATATTGTCCCAATATAAGACGTTTAGAGTAGTCCCTTAATATGATCGAATAATATAAAACAGTTGTCAATTTTAAAAAAATTTTGTTAATAAGGCAAAATGTTTAGTGTTATAAATAGATCTAAAGTGTAACAAATTAATCTCGAGTGTTATACAATTTGCCTGAGGTTAACCAATCGAAAACGAAAGCTGTACTTAAAGTAAATCTCAGATGAAAAAGTTACCCCAGATTTGCTGCAAGAAAACGACATAACATAATTATTAAATATAAAGTTGCACTGGGTTTATCACGCTCTCCTACCACCTAAAATTCTGTCTTAATTGTACTGCATGGAACCCTAATATTGCATTGGTAAAACTTAAGTTATCTATATTTGAACAAATTGTAATAAACATACCAAGTTTACCAAGAAATATATTAAAGTCAACCCAATTTTATATGTCGGTTGTTAAAGTTCCATTTAATTATTTTGAACTCTAAGAGCGCCAAAACTACATATGTATGTTTATATTCCATTATATAATACAAATTTGTTATTTCAAATTGTTCGAATAAAATAAAGCAAGAAAAATATTGTTCTTAATGTAGGTATGTATATTTTTTTTTAATCTTTTATTAATAAATTTATATTATACACAAATTAATTTTTATATAATTTACATAATCACTCATTTAAACAACATCCATATCAAACATTTCCTTTTCAGTCTTGATTTCAAATTCCAATAATTCAGTTGGTTCATAACTGGACTCAGAATTTTGGGCAGTATCACTAGTGATCATAGTTTTATTCGATTTATCATGATCACTCTCAATCAAATTAACGAAGTGTTCAGAACTGTCCAATTTGTTGTTTTTATCCTTTTCCCGTTTAGTGGATTTAATATTGAAATATTTTATATATATTTTACCACGTTTTGAAGTACGATAATGCCTCAGCTTTTCAGTCGAGAACAGTTTTAGAATTTGTTGTTCTAAATCATAAGTGGTAGGTAATGATAAATGTTGATTGGTTCTTTTAAAATATTCCACTATCAACTGTATTAGTGTTGTACGATGTGCATCTGTTAATATTCTATTTTCATCATAATATTTAAGTATACCTAAACCTCTAGGTCCCGAGGATTTTAATATATTCAATAGCAATGTTGTTTCTGAATTGTCAATAGCCGTATGGCTGTACGTAGATGAAAAAGATTCTATTGAGACGGCTTGTGAAATTTGTGGAACATCTTTTTGTACACGTATTTCATTTATTTGGGGTATTACCTTAATTGCTGGTGGTAGTGTTAGTAATGACGGGGGTGGCGTTTTTATGGATAATACATTCATTTCTACTGCGTCAGTGTTCACACCAATACTGACACATTTATTATTATATGTTTGATTATTCTCATTGTTTGGTTGCATATCATTAAAAGTAGATCCAAATATTGGAACATTTATATTATTCGAACCCATATTCGCGACAGGTTTGTTTATACCACGTCGCCATTTTTCAAAATTATGTTCAAATCGTATCCGAATACCTAGCCGATAATTTCGTAAAAGTTCAATGACGTGTTCAATCTTCATCATTTCCAGTTCTTCAATATCAATACCTTCATCTGAAATGAATATATAGATATATTGTTTAATAAATAAACCTTGAAATGATTAAGGTAAAATATCGATGCTTGTATAGAGAAGTGTGTATAAAGAAAATTATATAATGGGTATTCACGATTTTGAAAAATGAATTCGGTTACCGAGTAACATGATATTACTGTAAAGTGCCAACAATAAATGAATACGAAATATATTTTATTATTGCAACTTTATATTATTACTTGGTTACCGAACTCGTGATACCGAACTCCTGAATACCACTATAATTATATTAATTGTTATTTTTATGTTGACTATTGTTGTTATCATTTCAATATATATATCGAAATTTAGTTTTTTCAATTTTCTTCTTATCCAATAGAGTTCTAATCTTTAAGCAATAAATTAAAAACTAATTAACTAAAATTTACCTATTAATAAATATGTAGTTTTATAAAATACAAACAATACTGAAACATTAAGACTTACTTTCAACATGTTCAACAATTACATGACACTTCCAGGATGATAACAGCCTTCTAAGTGGAGAACCATTCGAGATAATTCCATTCATTGTGTTGGATGCTAAAACCAGTCAAAATCAATATATTCGTTACACAATTCATTTCAAAATATGATATTTCAAAATTTTAAATACTTATCATAAATGTGTGGAACACTGAGATAAATGACAGTATAGTATTAGAAAGAAATGTTCATATAACTTTAACACAAAATACTTCAAACTTCAAATAAAAAATTTTTTTTGTAATAGCTGGAAAACATCGACAGCCACAATGTGAGACTTAAACCCACTAAAACCGTCTCGAGTAAACAAGGAACATTTTCAGATCAGCATTAGCTCAAAAATATCGATATTTAGGAACACCATTAATTTAATATCAATTTAATGTATTTATAAAAAAAATTAAACTAAATTAATAAGATGCATCTATAATATATTATTCATAACCTGTGCAGTCGTAAATATATTATTATATCATAGAACGGGCTTCATGCGGCCCGCGACACGTTTCTAAGCTACCACAATCACGCAAATTTTCTTTTAATGTACTTCGGTATTTTGATGGTATACCAAATAAATGAACTTAATTTAAAAAATTTAATATTATAATCGTATAATCGTATTTTTATTTTTCTCCAAAGCAACAATGTATTTGTTTCTGCGACCCTCTAATATGTACAGTGATTTGTATTGGCCCGCAATCACATCTGGTCTAGACATCCCTGTCATAGAACATAATTTTTATAGTAGGATTATATTACGATAAATATCTAAATCCAAATATATTTTTAACATTTTTGGAAACAAAAAAATTTTACTTTTTATCTCTTTAACCTCTCTAATCTCCATCGAAATGAGAACAAAACTATAAACTTTACTTAGGTATTTTTATGCATAAGTAAGGTGAATAAGATACGATTCGTCTGAGCTTGAATCCACTCGTGTTGTTGACTGAACGAATAAATGCTGAAGAGTGTATTTCTTGATGTATAAATAAATAAAAAAATATTTCAAATTTTTTCGTTTATTTTTTTTAGATATAGAAGTAATAATTGTACATTTACCTAAGTAAGATTTTCACTATTAAAATCACTAACAAAATTTATTATGTCAATCAAAATTTGCATACAATCTTCATCAATACACCTTCAGTCTTACTCTTTATACTATCAAACGTAATAGATTAGTCACAGTGGCAGATATTGATGCAAAGTTATACATCTAGTATAGCACCCAATTCTTCCTTCTTCTTTTTCTTAAACTTTGATATCCTTACGTTTACTACGATTCATATGACAGAATTTGGTATAAATTTTACCTCGTTTAATAGTGCGATAATTTTTAAGTTTTTCAGTTGGAAATATCTTAAGAATCTGTTTTTCCAGATTATAACTCAATTTCAGCGATATATGCAAATCTAATTTAATAAAATATTTCACAATCAAGTTTACTAGTATTTTGCGTAGCTTCCATGTTAGGGTTTTAAATTCATCATAATATTTCAGTATTTCCAAACCCTTATCACCATTTGATTGGAGAATAGCCAAAACCGAAAATGAATTCGGATCAGTACAATTACCAACTTTTCCTCGAACAGTCGGTATAGATTGCCTTCTTTTAAATTCTTGCCGCGATATTACTTCTGGCATTTCTTCAAGTAAACTTTTAAATGATGAATCAGTAGTTAGCATCGTAGCATCATTTATTAATTTTATAACTGGTGAAACAGCCTTATTCTTTTCTGGATTTGACAACACACCAACCTTTTCTAATTCATAATTATTGCGTTGATAATAATTGGGGTTTAATTGCTTACTAATAAATCTCGTTTCAATTGAATGAAAATTGATATATTTTAGAAATAAAGCGTTGTAAGGCTTATTTATCTGGTTACGCCATTTTATATAGTTTTGTTGAAAGCGCATTCGAATATCTGAATCGTAATTGCATAAAATTTCTGCAACATGTTGAGGTGTCATTATCTCCATTTCTTCAACATCAATTCCTTCATCTGGAATAATGGATATGTCTTACGTACAGTTACGATATGTATGTATATATAAGTATCGGTATTTAGGAAGAAGCTTTGCAAAACTTAACTATTGATTTTTTTTATCAATTTTACTTATCTTTGCTTACTTTTAACCAGTCCCTACTCACCGATATGCATAACAACTTAAGACATAAGGACTTACTCTCAAAGTGTTCTGCAAGCACTGAGCAATTCCAAGATGATAGCAGTCTTCTTAGAGGAGAATCATTTGAAATCCAATTCATTTTTCTTTTTATTTGTTGCCTAAAGTATTTTGAAAATAATACTGATTAAAACCCTTATGTTACAATAACGAAACTAAATCTTTTTATAATAAAAAACTATATCGAACTTTTTGAGACATAAAGATGATTTTGTGTAAACTATATTACAGTACAACAATAGTAGATAAACCTTTTTTTACTTGTTATGAATATATGTCTATAAATTATCTTGAAAGTCACTTGCTAACATAACCGATTTAATGTTGTGTTCACGTATAGAATTGTATTTGTTGTTTGAGCGAACGGGCTGGACCAATGAAGCCAGTTTCGAACATAACTGACTTAAAGATACTCATAACAGTGTTCACAAAACAACTTGTATGATTCTAGCAAACACCTATTCAGCGGAGTGGCTTAAATACTACGCTCCTCATCCCGTATTTTTCTGTTTTGCGTCGTCATTAACCTAAAGCCAAATATTAAATTTTATATCGATCGAATTATCATCACTTTTTAGATATTGTTGATCCAAAGAGATTAAAGAGGATTCAATATTATTGTCATATAAATTCAATCTACCTAATTTTATATTGTTCTCTCTATAATTGTTCTGTATATACAATCGTATATCTTACTTTAAACACTTCAATTTAAATGATATGTGAAATACATCTATCCTGGCTAATAATTCATATATTAGAATCCATAGCAGATAAAAGGGGAAAGCTGAGTTGTCTAAATTGGACAGTTAATATATAATTTTTGTTTTTTGGTAATACAAATTTTACTAACAAGATAATGACATCAAAAATATTATAAAATACATTATATATTTATTTCGCTATGTACTGTTTGATAAAGTAGCATATTTGGTTATTCTTTCAAATAAACAAATATTGTTATCTGAAGCTATATATGTACATATCTCAACTATTCTTTGCAGAGTGTATAACTTAGCCTGGAGATACTTGGTATTCGGTCTTATCAATTTTAACTCTTCATCATAGAAACTTTTATTTATTTGCAGAATTCAATTAATAATAGTTTTCGAACAATTTTTTCTTCAGAAAAAGTGGTCTTCAAAATATTAATTTATACCAAATAACAGCTCTTCAATTGACAAAAATTTTGTTCTTGATAATCAGTGACATACGCTTCTCATTCCAACAAGGATGTCCATGGTTTTATTAACTGACATTACAGTCTTCGTTCTCTTTGAAGTTCATTCATCTTCTTATTTCATTACTATAGTTATTCTTCAATTTCCAAAGTGGAGTGATAAAGTTACGCTTTTTTTTAAAGAGAGGGTAGCCATACCTTATTGACTAGTATCACAGTCTTCGTTCTATTTTGATTATTCTTTAATTTTCAAAGCGCAGAAGCAACTCTATTTTCCATCAAACTAAATTGTAGGATGCTTTCACATGTATATTTTTATTAGATTATCATTAAATATCATTTAATATAATTTTTTGATACTTTCGCCAGTAGGATCAGTTTTCGGCTATCCAGAATAATGTTCTAAGTTGATACGACTAAGCTGAAGTGAGCATTCCAACACTGTTTGGAGTGTAAGTGGTAGTAAGTGAAATTCACTTGCGACACTCGCCTGGAGGTGTATATCTGGTACCACGGGTATTAGTGCCAGCAACTTCGGTTGTCTTAACCAATCAAGGTTGGCAGTGTCGTGGTGGCTGTGGTTAAACTCATACATTCGGCGTAAAGTTGCGTACTCACACCGGGTACTGCGACCTAAAGATCAGCAGTAAAACTTATCCCAAACATATAACTTTTATTGGAGCCGATGGAAATTCCTTTGAATTTTCAATGGGGCATTTATCTGCACATTATCTGGATACGTGTATTTTTGAAACATCGTGGTCTTGAGCTTTCAAGGCAGGGAATCATGTTAAACAACTCTGATTTCTGCCTCTCTACATTTGTATATAAAATCAAAAAAAAAATGTCCACAAAGAATCAACTTTATTTTGTGAGCTTATATTAACCTACTTTATTTACCAAATATAAAGTAGTAAATATACAGAATCAATGAAGTATTATATTTTCAAATATCGAAAATCCAACCATTACTCGTAATCTCTTTCTTTTCACGTTTATTGAGTGTGGTCCATTTTATTAAGAAAATCCACTAAACAACAATGTATCACATACTAAATAAAATAGTCTGAAACCGGTTTTATCGTAAAGTCTATTGTTACTGATCTTGTTTTGCTAAAATCCACTATATCATAACCATTGAAATAACAAATTTAATTAGTTAAATTTGATAAAAAAACAAATTCTAAATTTTTTTTTGAATTGGTAATATCGCTTTGTATATATTTCTGTTTTATAGTACATTTCATTCATAATGTTTTATATTAAAAATATATGTATGCATATACCAACTAATCACCTAATAATACACAAATGAGTATGAACAAAAATTTTTAATAAACATGTGAGTATACAAATTTTACTCACCTCTGATAACTTAATACTCTTTTTCTTAACAAAAAATATAAAATCAAAATAAATCAAAACAATCTTAACTGTTTGAACACAAACGATATACTAAATTAATCTATAATGAATTCCAGTATAGATAGGTACATATATTCATTGCTTGCAATAAGTTTTATACTCACAAAAATTCTTGTTTTCAACATTTACTCTCCATACCTTTTTGTACTGTTTTCATTTTTACAGCAACTGTGAGAGTCAACAAATCTTCGTTAAGTTTTATCATGTAATGCATTGTATGTATGATTCTTTGCAATGCCTTGCTCACGTACAGTCGCTTCTATTTCATACACAGCATTTGCTACAATTCGGCTTGCTACGGTCTTTTGGTGAGTAAAGTCGGCATTGTGCTGTGAGAATAGAAAAAATACGAAAATAAATAGAAGCAAAATGAATAAAGCATGAGAATATAAATGTTGTGCTAACACAAAAACGTTCGCAATTTATAAAAATGCTCATATTGAGATGAACACAAAATAAAATTATAATTCATTAAATGGTAGGTAGGTACGTAGGTAGGTAATGTTAGAAATATTGCAACGGTTCGTTGTTGTATTTTTGCTTTTGTTAACGTATACCCACATACATACATACATACATACATAGATGTTTTCTTAATATTCATGTTTTCATGAGCTCTGAGTATTTTGTATTGCATTTAATAGTTGTTGCTTGTTGTACTTAATGTAGTTTATTTTTTTATTTATGATTTATTTTATTTATGGTTACCTTAATATTAAAATGTTAATTATTTTTCAATGTAACTTTGGTCATAACAGGACAAAAGCCTAAGTTCGGTATATTTGTGCATACAAGTCTTTGCTGAGTTAAAAAAATATTTCTATAGTTCTGTTTTCAATCAAAAACATAAAAATATTTCTATGTTTTTGTTTTAAATAAAGATAACACCACTGCTGTGTAAAAACTACTACTGATTGCATACAGATGCATACAGGTTACCTGTATCAATAAATACACCATTGATTTATATAACGATAATAAACACAACTGTGTGATTTTTTGAAGTTTTTCTATTAAATAAATAAGTGTTTCTTAAGTGATTTGAAAAACTTTAAATGTCTTTTAAGAGCCATATTATATAGATAGTCCCTTTTGATCATTACTAAAAGACATGCTATACAGATAATCATAATTGTCAATTTCCTATTTTTACTACTATTTTGGTACGATTTTTTTTTGTGTCCCAAATTTAAAAAGTCAAATACACATATTTTCTCCTAATAGGTGCGAATTTTTATAGGTACTTATTTATTAATGAGCGACACTATTTTGATCAACGTAAAGAGCCGCTTAAAGCCTCATCTCTATAACTAAGGTCGTGTGCGAGTTAGGCTAAGTTGCGTTCTATATGAGGGAAATTCTAAGTTGTGTCGATAATGTATTGATGTGTCGATACGTGTTGATAAATGGCAAAATGTATGCAGTGCCAAAAATCCCAAAAAATCTCCCATTTGGTTTAGCATCAACTTAGCCTAACTCGCACACGACCTAAATTTTAATGGAAATGATTGTCATTCTCAATTTTTTCATTTGCATTGAAAACAACAACTTCAAAATTTGTTGTGATCACAGAATCATTTGAATCCCTCAAAGTTGACGTTTTTTACTCTATTAATTTGAAACATACCTGCATTTACCTGCATATGTATGTGTGGAGTATACTTCATAAAGAAGGTAAGTCCACTTATTAATGAGAACATTTTTAATATATCTACATATGAATTCAATAAATGAATTATAAATTATTATCGTACAAGATCATAACCAGGTAATTTAACGTTATTATTCTTCCATATACACATGTATATCATATTTCCATATTAAACAATTATTTCTTTAGGCCATGTGCGAATTCAAGTAAATTGTTGGTAAATTGAGAGAATTGTTAGATAATGTCGGTATGGCAGTGAATGCTGGTATTTATCGTTATTCGTGTGGATAAAAATTAAGTTTTATCATTGTGAAAATTTTATAAGATGTTTAATAAATAAATTTGATAACTTTAAATCAAAAATAGTGCAATAAATAAATATTTACATCCAAATCCGTAGGAAATTTTAATTTACTTTACCTCATTTTACTCGAACTCGCACACGGCACTAACATACATATGTATATTTTAATCACATACATATATTAGACCAACTGAAAGTGTAGCTTTACATCAAAAAAAAAAAAAAAGAAATTGTCATTTGCCTCCTTTATTTACTTGATTACTTAATGTTAACTAATTGTTATTATTGTTGCAGATCCCGTGTTGTAATTTTATGCGTCTGTTCTTAGCCTGCATTTTCATTTGCAAATGCCTGTTGTATTTGTAATACGAGTACTTCTTGCTGTCCTAAAAAAAGAAGTCATAATACAATGAATAAAAGAACTTCATAAAAAAAATTGAAAAATGCGTGTAGTTCATCGACCGCAGGCAACGTCTTCAATCCATATGTTCTTTCGTATTAACGTTGTTGTTGTTGTTGATGTTGTGTGGTGTAAGCATGCTGCATCATACTGATTGTTGAGCATACAAACTTCAATGAGTGCATACGCAGTTGATGTTACATGCATTGATAAAGGAGGGGGCATTGCACGCACTACATTTTGTTGTAAATGCAAACGCTGACATACATATGTATGTATAAATGTAACGAAGTAAGGGCAACTCTGTGTAGAAAACTTTTGGTTTGTTATGTGGTTTTTGATTTTAATACAAAGTTAGTTTCGTAGGTTGCTGTTTGTAGCATATTAATGTATTTTGTTTTTGTTTTTATTTTTGTTTGTTCCTTTCTTGCATTGTTCCAACGCTTACTACGTGAAGAAATTTTCGTACAGTATGTGTGAATGGTGTGTGCAGAATAAATTTAAAAGATTTTAATTAATTTGACTGAAAAAATTGAATAACCATACTTTGTGTATTTTTTCAATTACATTTAACTTTAATATCTTAATGTAAGTATCTCTCCGTCTCTTATTCTCTCTATCTTCTCTGCAAATTTCAATATACATTTCATTCCACATCAAAGCAAAATGTGGTGGATTAACTCCAATGCATTTAATTGTTTTATGGCAGGTTCACGTGCACATCAGGTCTGCAAATGCTCCTTTAAACTAATTAAAAAAGGAAATATTAGCACAAAGAGGTGAAATTGAATTTTTTTAATGATATGTTAGTTTAAGATATGATGATGTATGTCCTGCCCTTAACTTATAATTATTTTTTAGTTCTATAATTTTTTTTTAAATAAATTAAATTTTAAATTTGCTTCTAATTTTCACCATGTACTGTCCAATATTAATAACTCTTCAGTATTCACTGTGACAGAATGGTGTGGTGAATTTGTTCTCGGAGTTAACCCAACAGAAATAAAGGCTACGCTCTTTGCTAGAAGGCATAAAATACCTTCTTTTTTCCTTAATCAAAATAAAAGTGAAATATCTGGGTTTTATGCTTGCCTCTAAAACCTGTAAAGCTACATGTGCTACTTATTGCTGTGGAAGAAGTAAGGCTCCAAATGGGATCTGCAATTATGGTCTAGGTCTATACAGCTATTATTTAACCAATCCTTCTATATGGGATTGTATTTTGGTGGCGAGCAACTGAAAAGATTAGCTACATAAAACAGCTCAATAAAATAAGAAGGATGGTTGTCTTGCAAACCAATAGAGCTCTATGTTTTCAGTACCTTTTTTTTAACCTAGACCTCGATCTGAGATTCGACTTTTTTATACCTAGTTGTAAAAATGGACTCTAGATAAAGGGGTCTTTGTTAACATGGTAGACATTTGTACTGTACTTCTAAAATTGATGAAGTGGTCAACAGTAGCATATTTTCCTATAAACTGGGAGTTAGCATTTCACTTTAACTATCGATCAATATACATTAAGACTGAAAAGTTTTCGGAAATTCTCATTTAAAATTCGCGCGCTGTATATTTTTCGATATTTTAAGTTTATGTAGTTTGGCAGCACTGTCCTTAATTACTATGCCAAAAATGAGCTCGATCTGTCAGACAGTTCGTTTACGGCAGCTGTTGAAACCAGTTCACCTCAGTAGTGCGTTGCGAAATGTCTTCGACGGTCGTACGACCGTCCTGGAAGGCTTTGTACCACTCATAAACTTGAGTTTTCGATAAAACTGATTCCCCATAAGCCTTTTGTAGCATTCGCAACGATTCTGCACACGAAATTTCGTTCGAAACACAAAATTTGATGCAAACTCTTTGTTCAATATTTTTTTCCATTGTTTTTTTCGCAACGCCCTACTGAGGTGAACTGGTTTCAACAGCTGCCGTAAACGAACTGTCTGACAGATCGCGCTCATTTTTGGCATAGTAATTAAGGACAGTGCTGCCAAACTACATAAACTTAAAATATCGGAAAATATACAGCGCGCGAATTTTAAATGAGAATTTCCGAAAGCTTTTCGGTCTTAATGTAAGTGCCTTTCAAGCGATTCACTACGCAGCAAAATAGGACCTAGGCAACAAGATACCCGATGTAAATATCATATTGTTCTTTAACAGCCAAACTGCTATCAAGTCTCTAGTTTCTTTGGCACCAATTTTTGCTAGTTACAAGTTAAATTAAAAACAGCAATGTCATTTTGAAGGATAGTTTAAAGAAATTCCAAAAAATTACATATTATGGCATTTCACACAATATGCCAGTGTGTGTACGTATTTTAATAAAGTTTGTTAGAAATTTAGGTCAAAAACTACCCCAAAAATTACAGAAAACTATAAAATTTTGTTTCATTTTATGCATGGATCGAAAAATCTATAAAAAAATTTTTAAGGAGCCAAAAAAATTGTTAAAACTACGTATATGAGGAATTTGAATCAAGGCACACTACATAAATAAATTCAGAGAACCATAAGGGAAACTGCAATTTTCTTGGGAAAAGAAGGAAGAAAATATTTCTGAAGGCATGCGCAATTCTGTGCCCATATCGGGGTTGTAAACTGTTGTTATTTTTCTTCTCTTTGGTAAGATTGTTATCACTATACAC